TGCAGTTGACTGTGGAGCAATTAGGGTTTTTGACTGTGCAACTTAACCTTGTGAGCCTTGAAACTTGGCATGTAGGTGCTTGACAATGTGTATGAGCATATGTGACTTGATTGAGCCCTTGAAAACCTCAACTTCCTTGCAAGAATCACAACCCTAATTTGACTGGCTTAGGAGGATGGTTGACTGTGTAGCCTTTGAGTAGACTTGAGCCATTTGAGGTGATGCTTGGCAAAACCTTGAAGATTATGGGAGGACAAATTTTGGGGTACAACACTATGCATTTTGCTGGGGATTTAAATCCGCAGGTAATCTCTGTATAAATCTGAGGACAGGGACGACAACGTGTCCCCATCCTATTGCTCCATTAAAAATTTCGCGCTTTATTTTTTAATTCTGGCATATTGTTTGTTTTTCCAATATTATATTTAGTGTTCATTCCACTAACAAATAAAACACGTTGGCTGAGTGGTAGTGGAGCGTATGCATTGGCCTGCAGGACCTGGGTTCGAATCCCAGGTCCCCATATTATTTGTTATTATTTTCTTTCAGGTTATCCAATGCCTTTCCAAGCGCGCAGTGTATGATACACCCTCATCCAATCACTTGCCAGGTGGCCCCAGGCCAGATCTGGTGGTCCAGAACGAAAGTCCATCATACTCTCAAGTCAATGGGCGTGCATGGGATCCAGAAAAGTCAGCGCAGACTTGCACCATTGGGCCTTGAAAATTGCCACTCTCACCCTCTAATCAGGCCCAAAACCCCCTTGGTTATTTATATTTCTTTCTTTCTTTTTGTTTTATTTATTTATTTGTTTTATTAATTATTTTTATTATCATTAACCAATTAAACTTTTTTCTCATAAAATCAAAAACCAAAAAATATATTTTATCTATTAAAATTAAATTCAACATTTTATTTTTGTAAATAAATATTAATTCAATTAATTTAGTTAATTAGGAAATAACTTTAATATTTTTTGCAATAATTAAAATTAATTTAGACGATTAGGTTTTTATTAACTTTGATCAAATTTATTTTTATTTACTTAAATATTAAAAAACGCCAAAAAACATTTTTATTAATTAATTAGTTTATTAGTTTTAATAATTAACTTAGATTTAATTTCTCATTCAAAAAATAACCAAAAAATGCTTTCTTTCAAAAAAGGGTCAAAACCCTAAAAAATTTCGCATCCGATTCAATTTCCCGTGCGCAATCCATTTGATTTTAATATTGTACCTGTTTCCCGGAATGTAATAGTTTAATTAGGACTTTGATTATTTTATCGTTTTATTTATTTTCCGCACTTTAATTTCAAGGGTTGCTTTTGGCGATGTAAATACCCGACGCCTTGTAATATTTTAGTTTTAATTTCCGCAATTTAATTTCCGCAACTTATAAACTGTTAGATGTTTGATAATAGGGAATGCATGACAAGATCAAATGTTAAACCTAAAATCAACATAGATAACCATTAACATGTACAAAGATAAAATTAACCGAAATAACACACTCGGACATGCGCACTCTTAGGGTACACCTCACTTGGTTGCCTTCGAACGTGGTCATTGGGTATAGGAAGTTTTAGAGGTCTCCCTCTTGTCCAAAGATCATAGTTGCCTCGAAACGGTTGCCTCGGAAAAATGATCTAAGATATTAGGGTTACCACTAAGGCGTCCTAACATTGCTTTAGTGACCACACGTCCCTTAATCGAATTGACCCTTAAAACTCCAACGATGGTGCTACCTACTCATCAATAGTGAGATAGAATTGTCTAAAGGACATTAGTACAGATTGATTCCTTTTTCGAGTAGGTAGATGGTTCTTAAGTATTTGCTCTTTCAAAACAAAACAAAACTTTTTGCACTTACACCTTTCAAACAAAAAACTTCTTTCAAACCCACAAACACAAAGAAAAGCAAATTTTGAAAACACTTTGAGCAAGTACCTAAGAGCCCGTGGATAACCACGGATAGAAAGGGTGCTAACACCTTCCCTTTCTATAATCTACCCCCCGGACCCGAGAAACATCTCGAAAACGGAATTTTTCTGTGCTTTTTTTCCTTTCCTTGTTGGATAAAATAAAAGACGGTGGCGACTCTTTCTTACCGCGACATTTTGCGAAAACAAACGCAAAACGCAAACCAGCATTTCCAAGAAATAGTCAGTTCTCTCCCACCGTATCACAGCAACCTATCGAAATCCTAACTTTTTGGTAATCCTTGTTAGATTCTGCTTTGACCAGTCTCTTTCTTTTATAGAGTTCACCTCCAATTTGTGCTCTTTAAAGGTCCCGCTTAGTAGGTTCCCTATTTTGGTTTATCCGCGTTAGTCGGGTCCTCCTTTTGCAGCTTAGCTAACCTTTTATGTTAAGAGTCCTTCAGTGTCTCTTCAAAGTCCAATTGTCTGGTGTCCTTATTTAGGAGAATGCGCCCTTTTTTGTTGGGTCTTTCTTCAGTTAGTCTCGTTCCTGTACTCACTATCAACTCTAAACATTTTGTTTCTTAATTTCACTCTTGTGTATCTAACTCTGACCAGATACATATAACTTTATCCTTTAAAACCCCTCTTCGGCTGGTATCCTTTGTTAAAACCCCGCTTCGGCTGGCGTCCTTTGTTAAAATTCTGCTTCGGCTGGTACCCTTTGTTAAAACCCTGCTTCGGCTGATACCATTTGTTAAAACCCTACTTCGGCTGGTATCCTTTGTTAAAACCCCGCTTCGGCTGGTATCCTTTGTTAAAACCCCGCTTCGGCTGGTATCCTTTGTTAAAATCCCGCTTCGGCTGGTACCCTTTGTTAAAACCTCGCTTCGGCTGGTATCCTTTGTTAAAACCCCGCTTCGGCTGGTATCCTTTGTTAAAACCATGCTTCGGCTGGTATCCTTTGTTAAAACCCTGCTTCGGCTGGTATCCTTTGTTAAAACCCTGCTTCGAATGGTACCCTTTGTTAAAACCCCACTTCGGCTGGTACCCTTTGTTAAAATCCAGCTTCGGCTGGTATCCTTTGTTAAAATCCCGCTTTTGCTGGTATCATTTGTTAAAATCCACCTTCGGCTGGTATCATTTGTTGAGAGTCCCCTTCTACTAGTCTCTTTTCATTTGTAAGTTCGCCTTTGACCGGCGTTCCTTTCTTAGGAATCTACCTTCGGCATAGTATTCCTCGATGAAGATTCCCCTTCGGCTGGTTTCTTTATCATGAAGTCCACCTTCGGCTGGTACCCTTTGTTGAGAGTCCCCTTCGGCTGGTCTCTTTTCAATTGTAAGTTCGCCTTTGACTGGCGTTCTTTTTTTTAGGAATCAACCTTTGGCATAGTATTCCTCGACGAAGATTCCCCTTCGACTGGTTTCTTTATCATGAAGTCCACCTTCGGCTAGCATCCCTTAAAATCCATCTTTGGCTGGTACCCTTTGTTGAGAGTCCCCTTCGGCTGGTCTCTTTTCAGTTGTAAGTTCGCCATTGATTGGCATTCTTTTTTTAGGAATCTACCTTCGGCATAGTATTCCTCGATGAAGATTCCCCTTCGGCTGATTTCTTTATCCTGAAGTCCATCTTCGGCTGGCGTCCCTTAAAACCCAGCTTCGGTTGGTATCCTTTGTTAAAATCCATCTTTGGCTGGTATCATTTATCAGGAGTCCCATCCGCTTAGTCTCTTTTCTCAATAAAGTTCGCCTTTGATTGGTGTTCCTTCGTCAGAGCCTCCTTCGGTCGGTCTCTCCTTTTTGTATGTCTAAACTTGACCTGACATCCAAGAGATTTACTCAGCTGACTACTGTAATCCAAAAATATATAAAAAAAATATATAGAAAATACAGAAAACCAAAAAATATAATGTATACCTGACTGACTCCAGAGCGCAAATTTTCAGGTTCTTTTAAGTATTTAATCTTCTTCTACCTTGATAGTTCGAAAGGCTGACGCCAATCTCACCTTCAGGTTGAAGTAGATTAAATAGGGGAAGCTGTTGCACCCCAAAATTTTCCCTCATAATTTCTTCTATCTGGCTTAGACTATCGCATTCATCTATATATATTCCATTAGGTCATTAACATACATTTGCATTCAATAAAGCGCTTGAGGTTCGAAGTTCAGTGGCTGTGCGATATTAGGGTTTCGCAACGGATAAGGTGTTCGTATCCAATAAGGCACGATTCTTCTGATTATCCTTCAAGCAGTGAAATATGGAATTAGGGTTGCAACCTATGTTTATTGAGGGTTCTGATCTCTTCAAGTTAAGAGGGTTATTACTCATTCAAGACAAGAGTCAGAGTGTTTCTCCACCAAGTTTGTGCTTGACAGCATTTCATCAATCGAGGTTCATTAGGTTTTCTAAGTCATGGCCAACTTAGTCATATTCCCTTATGTATCCCCATGTTCACTTCAAAATTGTTCTACGGGGTCATCTAAAGGCTACTAAATCAGGCATTCCTTATCTCCTTGTGCTCAACGTCATCCTTTGATTAGGGTTTATTTCTCTAAATCATGTACCATTCAGGAGAGGTTTCTCTGTGAAGTTGTGATAATCAGGCAAGGCTACCATCAAGGGATATCGTCCATGAATAACCAGAGTTTCAATTGATATATCTTTGGAAAATAAGAAGGAGATCATTGCTTGAATCTCTAGTTATGCGGGAAACAATTCTATTCTAGAGAAGAAGATTCAGTTGGACCTTCTTCACGAATTAGGGTTTGTATACCTTATGATGCAAAGCTCTACATCTGGTAGATTGGCATACTTGCGATATAACCTATTTTCTTCAGATTTCATTTCAATACTTTGAAGATCAAAATCTAAAAGCTTTGTGTGAAAGTTTAGGATTTATATCCTATCGTACTTGGGTTTACCAACATCTTCAATGGAGGTTCATGGGATGATAAGGCGTGATATAAGAATGGAATTATGAATTCACCAGGATCAAGGGCATTATCATTCTCAATTGTTTGATCACTTGTATTGCAAGTTGGCCTGGAGCAGGGAAGACTAAGACAACAAAAACAATAATGCAATGCCTGGCTGCCCTTGGTGGTGGAAGTGGAATAGAGCATGAAATATTAAAGACTAATCCAATACTGGAGGTCTTTGGAAATGGAAAAACATTGAGAAATGACAACTCAAGTCGTTTTGGAAAACTCATTGAGATTCACTTCAGTGAAATAAGAAAAAATATCTGGTGCTAATATTCAAACATTTTGTTGGAAAAGTCTAGAGTAATCCAATGTAACGAAGGGGAAAGGTCATATCATATATTTTATCAGCTATGTGCTGGAGCCCCACAACCTCTCAGGGAGAAGCTAAATCTACAAAGTGTGGAAGACTATAAATATATGAGGCAGAGCAATTGTTATTCAATTCTTGGCGTTGATGATGCAGAAGAATTTCGTATAGTCATGGATGCTCTAGATGCTGTCCACATTAGCAAAGGAGATCAGGAGAATGTATTTGCAATGCTTGCTGCAGTGTTATGGTTGAGAAACATATCATTTACTATGATCAATAATGAAAATCATATTCAAGTCATTGAAGATGAGGGGCTATTCAGCACTGCCAAGTTGATTGGATGTGAAATTAAAGATCTGAAGTTTAATTTGTCAACTCGCAAAATGAAAGTTGGTAATGGTATTATTGTCCAGAAGTTTATTCTATCTCAGGCCAGTGATGCAAGAGATACTTTGGAGAAATCTATTTATGCATATCTCTTTGATTGGCTGATCGAACAAATAAACAAATCACTAGCTGTTGGCAAAAGAAGAACTGGTAAATCTATCAGTATTCTAGATATATATGGCTTTGAGTCATTCAATAGGAACAATTTTGAGAAGTTCTGCATAAATTGTGTAAATAAAAGATTACAACAATTCAATCGACATTTGTTCAAGCTAGAACAGGAGGAATACATGAATATATCCAAGATGTAACTGAATGGGCTAAAGTTGAATTTGAAGATAACTAAGACTTCCTTAATCTTTTGAAAAGAAACCAATAGAACTACTATCCTTGACAATGTGGTTCTCATTCACAATTAGTTATTTGTATCTGATGATCTAGTCCAAGCTCCTGGAATCTTTAAAATTTCTGATGAAGACCGGTTGCATTCCTTCAGCGAGTCATATAAATTGGGTACCAATTTAGTCGAAGGTGTCCATTCTCCAAATTTGGCCAGTTTAAATGCTAAACTTGTTCCAGAGCACTTGCTTTATCTCTCTATTGACCGCGGAAGGAAGTTTCTTTCGTCATCCAAATATGCAAATAGATACAATTTTTACAAGGATTCAAATGCTCACGAGATTGAACGAATGTTGAAATTACTTGCACCCCTAAGACAACAGATTCTGTCCAATCTAAATGAGTGGGAAGAACAGAATGATCTTCAAAAAAATTTGGCTGTCATTGACATGCTCCTGATTCTTCCATCTGATATCCCTCTAAGCCTATAATGCTATAACCGTCAGCCTCTTGAATTATGACCCAGTCTAGAATTAATCAAGGTTGGCTTGTCTTCAGCCTTCGATGATTGTACCCTGCTGCCACATCGGTAGTCATAAATATATGACCGAGACCAATTTACCTTGCCTCGTATTTGAATCTGCAACATTTTAAAAAGTCAAACCAAATTCTTCTAAACAATTTTAAACTAACAAGAATTTCACTGCTAGAACCAAAACTGCCAAAGCTGATTTCTAACTGACTATACCAAAATTTATTGAACTCAGAAATCTCAAAATTTCCCAACATTTAACAAACAGAATTGTAACAGAATTTATAACTTCCCCACTAAAAAACCCTGCATTACCTACCAGTTCAGCCCTGTATTAAAATTAATAAAACCAAACAGAAAAAAAAAAGAGCATAACAATTCTCTAACTAACAGTTAGCCAAATTCTAGCTCTGTTCTAACTGCTTCTAACAAACTTTAACAGAATTTCCTAACTGTCTATAACAAACTCCAAACTGTTTTCCTAAAGCCAATTTTCTATAACAAACCAAAAACAGAATTCCAAACTAATCTATAACCAACTCTCAGCCCTATATATAATAGAAATTCAGAGATTGCAGAGGGAGATATATATCATCATTCAGTTCAGATTCATTATAGTTATTCAACACACAGAAAAGTCTCAAGAAACTCACAAAAAAATATCAAGTTTCTCTATGCAGTCTCTGAAAATCTGAGTTTTTCTTTGCATCATCTTCAAGCAACATTGTCGATCTTTTCTCTTTGAACCTCTTCATCAACTTACTTCCTCTCTCTGCGACATCAACACCCCAAGCGCATCAATTTGCAATTCATCTACGATTCTCCAACATCAATATTCACCTTTCATCACCTTCTGCAAGAGTTCTTCATCACCAAAACCATCGCCAAAACAAGCAAACAACAATAACGATATCATCATCATCTTCGGATTCGTTTCTAAAATCACGACACAACACTCATGCAGACAAGGTAGAAGACGAAGTAGAAAGTTCAAAGTGGGAGAAAAGATTGAAACAAAGGTCTCAGAAGCATACCTGTGAGTTTCGTTCAAACCTCCTCCATCTCCTTCGGTAAAGGTGCAATTTCCGATACCTTTTCAGTCCATTCTTGATATGGTTGCATCGAGGGAATTAAGAGGAGTGGTAACCCCTTTTAATTGAGCTTTGAAACACTATCATGGGCATTTAATCTGAGTATAAAAAAAAACTAGGGTTTAGTCTGTTCTTGTTGGATACGAGCAAAATCAGAAGAAAAGAGCCACAAATATGAACTCGGTAAGATGAGATTGAATAGAACTTGTTCGAGGCGAGGTAGAGAGAACGAAGAGGAAGATGAGATGAACAGAGTTGATCGACGATGGAGATACGGCGCTGTTGAATATTGCGAGAGAGAACAGGAGATTTCGTGTTGTTACAAGGAGCTGGATAGCCACAAGCTGAAACCTCATTCCTTTCCAAACGCACCGTTTCATAATTTTTTTTCTTTTAATTGTTCTTAAGTTTTTTTATTCAATATGAACAAATCATTGTTGAAATATTTGATGGGCTTGTGTTGCTGCAAATTGAACCGAGGCCCATTGGCTTGGAAGCTTGCAACAAAAAGACCTTCTTGGACTTATTTTGCATTGGGCTCAACACCAATTTGTTTCAGCACACATGTTTCCTGGTTCACCCCCCTTGACTCTTTTTCATTTGATTTTAGTCAATTTTTTGTTTTTTAAATTTTTGTTGATAAAAAAAAAACATTAATGTAATAAAAACATTAATAGAAAAATGTTAGATTTTATGAGATATTTCGGGAATTAAATCATGATTATCCGATTACGTGAGATTTGTGACTTACTTTTTCTTGTTAAGATTTGAGTCTTATGTAGGATATACGGATACACTTGATTTTTCTATTGCAATTTATTTTTGCACCGATGATGCTTCGACACTTATTTCGAGCGTTTGACTTCTGACTCTTTTCTTGGATTGGTGAAGCTGTCGTGAAGGTCGTCGGGCTTCTTTGTTTTGATACGCTTCGTGACAGATTGGTATCCATTCCGTATCGTCACAACTCTATTTTGTTCTTCATTTCCGCGTTTTACCGCAAGCTATGCATGCTAACATCAGGTAGAATTCCTTTGAAATTCTAACTTTAGGTCTAACAAATGCATGATAAAATTAGGTTTAGGAATAGGCTAGTCTCACCTTGACTTTTCTTTTTCTTTTTTGCATATGCATTTAAAACAAAAAACTTCTTTTTCTTACAAACCTCAAAATACTTAAAAATTTACTGATAAGAATCATGTCTTTGCTAAGTTTGGGAGATGATAAGTGGGTTTCTTCTCGATCTTATTATTCTCTTATTCTAAGCCTTGGCATGGTTCAAGTCTCAAAGAATTATTTCATGAATAAATAGAGACATGGCTAAAATCTCTCTCTTGAGATCAACTAGCTGTTATCTACAAGCAAAAATACCAACCGATACAAAACTCTTTTTGCCTTTGGGCTTTCCTTCCAAATCTTTTCAAAAGAACAAGTTAATTCACTTCTGTGCTGACGCGTAAGTCTCCAAAGGTCGAGTTGCGGCAGAAGGAGAAATTAAAATGTTCATTTAAAACACCACCAAATTCAAACCTTTTTGTGCGCCCAAGCACATTTTCTCCAAATGTTTTTCAGAAAGAATATGTTAATTCACTTATGTGCCGACGCGTAAATCTCCAAGGGTCGAGTTGCGGCAGAAGGCGAAATTAATATCGTTCATTACAAACACAAACAAAATTCAAACTTTTTGTGCGCCGAAGTACATTTTTTTCCAAAATTTGTCAAAATAGCATGTTAATTCACTTCTGTGTTGACGCATAAGTCTCCAAAGGTCGAGTTGCGGCAGAAGGCGAAATTAATACTCTTCATTAAAAAATACAAACCAACAAAAACATATAAGCCGAACTACGGCTGCTCTGATTCCTTAAAAAGGATACGTAGGCATTGGGGTAGGTCCCGAACGAGCACAACTTTTATTTTCCCTACATTCTTTTCTTCTTTTCTTTCGCATGCATTCTCCCTTTAGCAGTAATAAACAGTAAGCATAGATTAAACACACCCATAAGATAGATAACAAGAGTGGATACCGTAGAGTACTACGGGCGTGTGGGGTGCTAATACCTTCCCTTCGCGTAACAGATTCCCTTACCCGATCTCTCGGTCGCAAGACCGTGACTTCTCGCTTCTCAGGTTTTCTCGATGTTTACCTTCCCTACATGTGGGGTAAAATACGTTCGATGGCGACTTCATTGTTTGATGATTTTCAGCCGGTTGTTTCAACATCCCTTTCCATAATCTACCCCCTTACTCAGAAACTCTCGTAAAAGGTATCTTTCTGTTCATTTCACCCTTTCTTTTATTGGATAAAAGAAAAGTGGTGGCGACTCTTGCTTACCGCAACATTTGCAAATACAAAATACAAAACCAGTATAACAGTCGGTTGTGCCACCGTATCACACACGTGATCATCATCGGGGGGGATAAAAGATCTTATCATCGAACACCTGATCAAATGGCCCCACACTTTCGACCACTAACTCGACCCCGAGGTTAAGAATCTTAAGCTGCTCCATGGCTGTGTTGAAGCCATAACTTAGAGTATCTACGACGTCTTGTTCGAGCACGCGAATCTGCGCAATTTGATCTCTCCTAGTTACGAGGGATTTCTCCATGTAAGCCTCTTCCTCGGCGGGTTCCACGATCCCCTCTAGATCTTTTACCTAGCCAACCAGTTGCTCGTTTTCTCTATTCGCGGCCTCCAGTTGAGGCCATAACTCATTCATATCTTTGAGGAGCTGGACCTGCGCCTCATACTTTGCCCCGTGGTTGAGAATGTCACCCTTTAGCTTCTCATTTATCCCCTGCAGTTTTTGGATCCAGGAATGGGATTTGTCATGGGCGGCCTAGGAGCCCGCAACTTCATTGTTCAACATCAACACTGTCTCAAGAATGCTCATCACGGCAGCCACGTCGTTTGCCAGATTCTTCTGCCAGGTCTCTTTATCTTCAGACAAGATTTCTTCCCTTTCCTCCCCGCTGAGATATAAAGAACTCACCCCACTGAAGATGTCCCGATTGAGGTAGCAAGGAGGCAACACACAAACTCTCTCAGTTCCCCTAACACCTTAAGGCGCTACCCGCTCGGGGTCCTCCAGGAACTTCCTCTTTGCCTGTTATTCAGTAGGGGAAGCCTGATTCTTCGAGGAGGAAAGCGAACCACTTGCTCGAACATAAGTTTTGACCTGCTCCTGAAGTTGAGAAGCCCGACTCTTGGGCCCCAAGTTGGAGGCATTCTCGGGCCTCATCTTGAGTAAGCGCTTAGAAAGGGATGCCATCCGATCTATAATAAAAAATAAACTATCAATCACAAGAAAAACATACAAAGATATAGTCACAGGCATATCTCCTACCTAAAAGCCGCAAAGCCTCCCTTTTGAAAACACTCGAGCAACGCTTTTGTATTTATCAGTCTGTGAAGAGGAGATACTCCCCTTTATCATCTAAAAGGAAGTTATTGTCCATGTCCACACACCTCGTAGGTGTGAAACTCCAGACATAAGCCACCAGGCTTCACTGCGTAATACTCGAGCTTCTACTCGAAGTGTTTCCACTACTATTCGAGAGGAAATCTAGCCGTCAACCGAATTATTATGCGACCTTCATCGACCTCTTTTGAGCAATCGTATAATGAAGCCACAACCTCATCTATGAGAGGCTTCACGATGAAGTGCCTCTCTTTAAAGTGGTGAATAGATTCGGGATACGGTCAGAAAATTTTCCTAAACTGTTTAAAATACACCCAGGCTTGTCCCTCCAATGGACTGCCTTTGCAAATGGAAAATGCGGAAGAAGAGGGGAAATGTGGCGCCTATTTGAAGATATTGATATACGAGCTCGAATGCACGCATGAACGCGAGCGCATTCGGGTGAA